GCTGACCTGCACTGTATACTTCAAAATAAGCAAACAAACACGCTTTTCATCTGGAGACACTTACAGCTAAAGAAACCCATCACACAGAAAATCTGCTCAGAGTCAGCAGTTAATGTTTTAGTTACTGATTTACCATTACAAAGTAAATTAGATATCTAGAGACAATGCCACGAACTCAAGTGTGCTGGAGCTTCCTAATTGAACATTAAAAAATACCGTAATACAAAGTCAGTCACTTCGGTTTTCTTCTCCAGTTCTTCTCTTATCCTGCTTTTTACTTGTGATTATGCTAAATAACAGTAAAAATAAGCACGATAATTTACAGCAAATCAAATAGATTATTTTCATCCTATTCTTTATAGAATCACAGAATCATTAAGGTTGGAAAAGACCTCTAAGATCATCAAGTCCAACCATCACTCTATCCCACTTCTAAATACGGTTTATGGCTACTAATGTAGTGGAACAGTTCTTTCAAACATCATGCACACCTTGGTCTTTTGTGCATCACAAGGAACTTCTCCAGTAAGCAACTGGAGATGAAGCCTTTGAGAGCAAAAAGCAATGCACATGGACATTTCCAGGTGTGACCTTTCTAACTCATAACTACAGATTATCAACCTAGAGCAGTCCTTGTCAGCTTCCCCAGCCGTGAACGATGGTCTTGTGCACAAGGGCCGGCGTCACCGTGATAGGAGTCTGACGACACAAGCAAAGTGTTAAAAATAAATCCTTTCCTTTTGTAAACTATTTTTTTAAATAAAATGTTTATGAGAAGGGTTTTGATTAAGCATTTTTGTAAAGTTCACACCCATATTACATGAATCCTCTTCATATAATTGTGAATGTGAACTTTAGACAAAATCAGGCAAGTAATACGAGTTTGTGATCAGAATGATGAAAAAATGTAACTGTATGTTGAAATCAAGTTTGGGTTAAGCAACAGTGGAGATCCAAATATCACAAGTAAGATTCTGATCCAAGGAAATTCCGTGTAGCTCCACTGACTCCGTGTGATGCTTTATAGAGCCGAAGATCTGACGGTATGGGTTTACAATGAGTTTGAAACAGATGGAAGATTACAAGCAAATTGCAGCCTTAGGAACTTCAGCAGATATTTAAATGCCTATAAGGAGAATATTCAAGGACATATCATCCATTAAGTTTAGGGGAGAAAAAAAAAGAAAAGGGTTTAGTGAAGAAACAGCAAATTTATATAGCAATCTATAATGGATTCAACTACTGTATCCTTAAACATCTACAGAACTGTTCATTTGGGGGGTTTTAAAGCTTCACATTCTTCCTGAAGAGCATTATTATTCCTTGCCTTTATACAGACCTAGTATTTTGTTACACGTATTGAATTTAAGTTCTACTTTTCTATATTCAAAAGCAAACAAAAGTGATGTTTGTATAAAACCAAAATTATTCCATTATTTTCATTTCACTGTCATGTTTTCATCTATCAAGTCATCTGTCTGAGTCATTGCTGAAATAGGACCACAGCTGTAACATCAGAGGGGCTTTAAATGTACCTCAGAAACACGTTCTTTTTCTTTCCTCACGGCCCCATCTGTTGAGAGTACCGGCGGAGGGTGCAAGGGAGCTGGACCGCTTATCCCATACAAGAAACTTGCACAAAAAGGAATTCCACAGCTAAATCTTAAAGCATGAACATCCCAAGGTGCTACACTGATAGGAGCCAAAATTTAGTTAGAAGTAGTTGTGGAAATAAGTCACGCTTTGTTCCATTTTTCTGTTCCAGTTTCTTAGCTGGATTCTACCACAGCCAGAGAAAACAGCAATGAGAAGAGAAAGAAAAGAACAAGTGAAAACTTTTTGTTTCTTTGTCTTGCACACGAGCATACAGCTTATAGCAAAGCATCTCCCCATATCTTTCACCCCAGAAGGAAGGAATCCTTCTACTGGCTCTGGTTTAACCCTATTCTTGAGTTTTGTATACAATGTCAAATTCTGTCCCTACAGGGGAAGGACACGTCAGCGTTCCCATACGTGTGCACAAAAACAAGCAGCTCACTCTGGCACTGTCATTTCATCGATTAATACATTAGAGCAAGTTGCTTTTTAATTAGTGTACCGCGTCTGCAAATCTGCCACTCGTTGGAATTGCACGTTTCACTTTCCCCATTCCAGCAATTCACAGGGTTGTTTCTCTCCAAGCTGCACCCTCAGCTGCTTTCCCGGCTCCCCAGCTCCAGCATCTCCCCAGAGCAGCGGGGCGCATTCGCAGCCGCTGCGAGAGCTTCGGGCAGCCCTGGCAGCAGTGCCGGCCCACTGGGGAAAAACCTGCAATAGCTGGCAAGTTCAAGTGAGAAGCATCTGTTCGCTACAACAGCGTACCTGTTGTTCAGCACGAATGAAACGCCAGCCAGAACGAAAGAGGGATCAGCCCCAGCCAGGCTGCTTTTCCCCTTAGCAGGCTCCTTGCGGACAGCTGTTCCGCTGGTAAAGACACCAGTACGACACGAAGCAAAAACCAGTATGAAATAGGGTTCAAAAAGCAATCCAGAGGATGATTTTATTCAGCTAGAAACAAGATTATTGTGACAGGACTACAAGTAGGACTGTAAAGTTATCTTAATTACTTCATTCTTACTCAGTTTTCACTGGATCTCCGTGGAAGATACAATTCTCTCCTATTTTACACCACTGTAACTTAGCTATTCCATTTTTGTAACAGATTTAAAGCACAGGGTGCTAGGTCTACATATACAACGCAAGCTGTTTCCTGTTTAATGAATTATAGTAGTTATTTGGCATTTTTATGAAGACTGGAAAAACTGAAAGCCAGAGATTAGTCGTGAATTTAAACTGAATAATTTAGCATCACATCAAAAATACACGGAAGGAAGTTATTCATACCAGTCTCAAGTATAGGTAAATAATGTATCTTGCAGTGTGGTAACTTGGTACCATTTTTCTTGGATTACTTGAAAGGATGTAATAATCCCCAGGTAAACATGCAGTGAATCATGTTTGCCATGAATATCTAGGTTTCAGCCACGGAGTCTTCCTCGGTGGTACCATACAGACCCAAGCAAAGCTTCCAGTAAATGCAAGCACTACAGCGGAGGAGCCGAAAGGAAAACCTTTCCTCCCAAGACACCCTGCACTTTTCTAAACTCTTAGTTTATTAAATTCCTGCCTCTATTCATTAACAGTATATAACACGCAATTCCCAACACAAACATCTCACTGAGGCGCCCAGGGAGAAAACTCCCCCATTATCACCACGGGAGCAATTTGGGGGAAATTATACAAAATTAT